ACCCAGGCGCCCCTCTTTTTTTAAATAATATACATATTTTCCCCATTTTGGTGCTCCAAGAACTGTGTATACCTTCTTGTTTAAACTTATTGAAATCCACAATGGAAAAAAAACACCTGTCATTGTTTACAACATAGTAATACTCTGTCATAATTTAATTTTGAAAATCCCCTTTCCCAAAGCAATATACTACCATATATTATTTTAAATACAGTGAAATAAAATTGACTTCATTGGGGTGCCTGGGTGGCTCAGGCGTTAAGCGTTTGCCTTCAGCTCAGGTCATGGTCCCAGGGTCCTGGGATCGAGCCCCGCATCAGGCTACTTGCTCAGCGGGAAGCCTGCTTCTCCCTCTCCCACTCCCCCTGCTTGTGTTCCCTCTCTTGCTGTGTCTCTCTCTGTCAAATAAATAAATAAAATCTTTAAAAAAATTGATTTCATTTTGGAATTTTGTGATACGACTTGAAAGGATTTTTAAAAACTTCCCTAGGCTATCCCAAACCAGTACTGAAAGTGTGCCAGCCATTGGCTATGCACTAGGATACAGAGATGAGTAAGACTCAGGCTTGTCCTTGATGAACTCACAGTCTACCCAGGAGACTAACAAACATGTATGTTAAATTATTATGTGACAGTGACAGTGAATATGATGCACAAGTGCTTTGAGTAGAATGGGAAGTCTTCAAAATGAGAAGTATCATTTGAGCCAGGCCTTGAAGGATGGGTAGGAGTTTGAAAGGTGGAAAAGAAAGAATTACTATCATCCCAGGCTGTAGGAACAATAGCATGAGTAAAAGTAGAACACAAAAGTGTGTGCTAAACCTTACCACCAAAATTAGGAACTAAGCAAGGATGTCCACTCTCTCCACTGCTACTCAACATTGTACTAGAGATTATAAGCTAATGCAGCTGAACAAAAAAGATCAGTTGAAGGCATTAAAGAGCAAGTAAAACTATCTATAAAGATGATAGATAGTATGTCTGGAAAATCTGAGAGAATCAATGCTAAAACTAATGTTAACAAAATAATTCAGCAAGATAATAGTATATAAAATTAACACAAGAGGGGTGCCTGGGTGGCTCAGTCGTTAAGTGTCTGCCTTCGGCTCAGGTCATGATCCCAGGGTCCTGGGAGCACTGGGCTCCCTGCTTGGTGGGAAGCCTGCTTCTCCCTCTCCCACTCCTCCTGCTTGTGTTCCCTCTCTCGCTGTGTCTCTCTCTGTCAAATAAATAAATAAAATCTTAAAAAAAAATTAACACAAGAAAACAACAGCCTTCATATACATACAATAGGCAGTTGGAGAATATAATGGTAGAGGAAACTCCATTTGCAATAGCAACATAAAAGGTTAATTACTTATGAATAAACTTAATAAATTCATAGAACCTATATGAGGAAAATTTTAAAACACCCCTGAAAGACATAAAAGTAGACCAACAAATGGAAATGCACTGCCTGTTTTGGGACAGAATGACTCAACATGATAAACATGTCATTTTTACCCAAGCTAATAAATTTAAGGAAATCCCAATAAAAAAATGACAACAGACTTTTATGGAGCTAGATAAATTGATACTAAAGTTCAACATTCAGGAATAGCCAGGAAAAACTGACAAAATCTACAAAGGGATACCGACTACTGAACATTCAGACATACTCTGAAGCCTCTGTAATGAAAAATGTGGTTCTGACAAACGAACAGATCAGCAGAATAGAAAAAGAAGTCAAGAAACAGACCCTGGGCGCCTGGGTGGCTCAGATGGTTAAGCGTCTGCCTTCGGCTCAGGTCATGATCCCAGGGTCCTGGGATCGAGTCCCGCATCGGGCTCCCTGCTCCTTGGGAGCCTGCTTCTCCCTCTGCTTCTCTCTCTCTCTCTCTCTCTCCCTCTCTCTCTCTCCTCCTCTGTCTCTCATGAATAAATAAATAAAATCTTTAAAAAAAAAATTTTAACCCATGTTACTCAACCATGGAAATATATTAAAAAAAAAAAAAAGAAATAGACCCTAAAACATACATAAGTGTATTATGTGACAAAGAGAGCACCTCAAATCACTAAGGCAAAGGTAGACCTTTAAGAAGTGGTTCTGGGATGGCTGGGTAGCCATTTTGAAAAAGATAAAATTGAACCCCTACCTCACACCACACACAAGAAACTCCAAATAGTTCAGGTGTAAATCTAAAAAGATGAAATCAGGAGCGCCTGGGTGGCTCTGTCAGTTAAGCGTCCAAATCTTGATTTCAGCTCAGGTCATGATCTCAGGGTTGTGAGACAAAGCCCTGTGTTGGGCTCTGCGGTGGGCGGGGAAACTGCTTGGAATTCATTCTCCCTCTTCTTCTGCCCCTCCCCTACTCCTGAACCTCACCCACCACCACCGCTCATGTACTCCCTCTAAAAAAAAAAAAAAAAGATGAAACCATACAAGTTCTAGAAGGGAAACATGGGTGAGTTTCTCTTTTAACCTCCACATGGGGAAAGGCTTTCTTTCTAATTAATGACTCAAAATCCAAAGATGATTTTTTTTTTAAAGGTAGGTAAGTTTGACTATATAAAATGAAAAATTTTTTGCATGAGAAAAAAACCTTAAAAATTTGACCACTGATAAACAAAATATTTACACCATATATCACAAATAAATAAATGGCTAATAGCCTTATATATATAAAAAGCTCTTAAAATTTGAAGGACAAAAAATAGAAAAATGGGAAGAGATAATCAATTCACAAAAATTATAAAAGTTTTTAAATATTTATTTGAGAGAGAAAGCCCACACAAGAGGGTAAAGGGGCAGACTCCCGCTGAGTACGGAGTTCAACTTGGTGCTCAGTCATACAAGCCATGAGATCAGAACCTGAGCTGAAACAGAGTCAGATGTCCAACCGACTGAGCCACCCAGGCACCCCAAAATTACTAAAGTTTTTAAACACATGAAAAGATGTTCAACCTCACAATTAGAGAAATGCAAATTAAAGCAACACCGAGGTACCATTTCTCAACTATCAGTATGACATACATGCTGTTTGCAGGCTGCAGAAAATAGGCCCTCTCCTCTATTGCAGGAGGGAGTGCAAACTGGTACAACCTTTCTGAGAAGAATCTGGCAGCATCTAACAAAACTACAGATGCACTTTTTTTTCTTTTTTACATATGCACTTTTAAACCAGTAACACACTTTCAGGAATTTGTCTTGAAGATAGAATTCAGACAATATGAAAACCTTTACATGTGTAAAAGGTTATTGACTGCAGCTTTGAAATTGCAAAATATAAGGGGGAGGGATCTAAATGCCCACATATAAGAGAATAGTTGAATTAACTATGGTATATCACACATGAAATACTACGCAGTTATTGAGGGGAAAAATAAAGTGATATGGAGTAATTTCTAGTACATACTGCTAGATGCAAAAAGCAAAGTGGAAAATAATATTTACAGAAAAAGAAATAAAATATGCGGGCGCCTGGGTGGCTCAGTTGGTTAAGCGACTGCCTTCGGCTCAGGTCATGATCCTGGAGTCCCGGGATCGAGTCCCACATCGGGCTCCCTGCTCAGCGGGGAGTCTGCTTCTCCCTCTGACCCTCTTTCCTCTCGTGCTCTCTATCTCTCATTCTCTCTCTCTCAAATAAATAAATAAATAAATCTTTAAAAAAAAAAAAGAAATAAAATATGTATCTGCTCATTTGTGCAAAAAGAAACATAAATGATAAAAATTGAGATTTATTCTCTACAAAGGGTACAAAGAAGGGAAGGAGTGACACTGCTCTGCATACACCCTTTTATAGTTCTGACTTCCATTGCTGTTCATAGGTCAGCACTCAAAGACCAAAATCAACAAGGATTTGGGAAGAACCAAAATGGGAGCAAACAAAGCTACCTGCATTAAAGATGATTAATATAACCATACTGAAATATGAATAAGGGAAAAAAACTAACCTAAGTAACTTTGAAGAACAGTATTTTTTTTTAAAGATTTATTTATTCACTTCAGAGAGAGAGCGTGCACAGAAGGAGGGGCAGAGGGAGAGAGAATGTCAAGCACCCTCTGTGCTGAGCATGGAGCCTGATGTGGGGCTTGATCTCCCGACCATGAGATTATGACCCAAGCTGAAACCAAGAGTTGGATGCTTAACTGAATGCACCAATGAGCTGCCCTGAGAAACAGTATTTTGAATATATACTTAATAGCTGAAGACAAAATAATATTCACAAATATTGTACTTCTGTTAGCAGATTCATTTCTTCCAGGGGTATGGATTGGCAATTCTGAAACTATGTGTTCTCAGATTGAACAGTAAGTAAACATGTTGTGGATAACAACAGCCAAGTTTCTCACTGTCAGACAAAGGAGTTTTAAAGAAACAGGGGAGGGGCGCCCAGGGGGCTCAGTCGGTGAAGCATCTGCCTTCAGCTCAGGTCATGATCCCAGGGTCCTGGGATGGAGCCCTGTGTTGGGCTCCCTGCTCAGCATGGAGTCTGCTTTTCCCTCTCCCTCTCATCCTCCCCCCTGCTCATGTTCTCTCTCTCAAATAAATAAATAAAATCTTTTTTTTTAAAGATTTTATTTATTTATTTGACAGAGAGATAGACAGAAGAGCACAAGCAGAGGGAATGGCAGAGGGAGAAGGAGAAGCAGGCTCTGCACTGAGCAGGGACCCCGATGCGGGACTCAATCCCAGGACCCTGGGATCATGACCTGAGCTGAAGGCAGACGCTTATCCATCTGAGCCACCCAGGCGCCCAAATAAAATCTTTTTTTTTTTTTTAAAGATTTTATTTATTTGTTTGACAGAGAGAGAGATAGCGAGAGAGGGAACACAAGCAGGGGGAGTGGGAGAGGGAGAAGCAGGCTTCCCGCTGAGCTGGGAGCCCGATGTGGGGCTCGATCCCAGGACCCTGGGATCATGACCTGAGCCGAAGGCAGACGCTTAACGACTGAGCCACCCAGATGCCCCCCCAAATAAAATCTTTTTAAAAAAATAATTAAAAAATAAATAAATGGGGGAGGCCAGTATGAACCCTGTGGTGTTGGACTGGAACTGGAGGTATCAGTATGAATTTATGGGTTTTAATGTACATAAGTATGTATGTATACAAATAGATATAAAAATTGATCAATATGTGTGTACGTGTCTATAAATGAGTATGTTTCCTAGCTTTGTCTGCTGAGAGGGCCTAGAAGCAAGGAAATCCCAGTACAAAAGAGCACACCTACCATCCAGAAGTTGTTTCTGTCTACCATCTCTGATCAAAGGAACCAGGACTCTTGGGAGAAAAGACTGATTCCATTTGGGTTGGAGTTGGGAAATACAAGGTAAGCCTAGAACACTTTAAGTTTCCAGAAAGTAAGGAAGTACTCAGAAAATGCTGGAGATATGCCAAAGAGACAGAGGCTCCCAGTATAAATGATAGTAATGGATTATAACCCCCAAAATAAAATTAATATTCAAGAGTATTTTGTCACATAAATAATTGAATAACAAATAAATGGAGAGAAGGAAAGTCATTAAAGCAGAATTTCATCTGATAATAGAAAAATTACCATTTCTCAAGTATCAAAGTAATAACTATTTTAGACAAAAAAGCATCAATGGATGCTAAAGTTAGTAGGCAAAAAGTATGATGAGAAACAGGATATTTACTTAGTTTCAAAGTATCTCCCACCAAACCACTTTCGATTACTAACAGAAAACAGTAACTTTACCGTGGAGAAATCTGGCAGATAATCTTAACTATATGATAAAATTAGGATCACCAAGAAGACAAATCTCCATCATGGGTTTCCAGATAAAATATGTGAGAAGAACACAGCATTGTTCTGTTTCTTACTAAAAATGCACAGCTGAAATTTAATCATGACGAAATCAGAAAAATTCAAATACAGGGACATTCTACTAAAGTGTCAAGGTAAAGAAAGATAAAACAACATTTAGAAAATGTTCCAGACTAAAGGAGACGCTGTTAATATTTAGGGAATCTGGGTGAACAGTATATGGGAATTCTTTATACTACTTCTGCAAGTGAGTCTGAATTTATTTCAAAATTTTAAAAAATATGTGCACGTGTGCAAGCATGTGTGTATATAATATGCATAGAAAAAGCCCTAACAGTAATAATAGAAGTGTTTGTAGTGATTATCTCTGATAATCTCTTATTGGTATTTTCTGATTTTTCTCTGGTGAAATGAGAATTGTACTATTACATAAATGTTAACATTTGGAGAGTCTGGGAGAAGGGTATGTAGGAATTCTTTGTACTATTTTTGCAACTTTTTTTCAAGAATTTATTTATTTATTTGAGAGAGAGAGAGAGAGCTCACGCCCGAGCACAAGCAGGGGTAGGGAGAAGCAGACTCCCCAGTGAGCAGGGAGCCTGACACAGGGCTTGATCCCAGGACCCTGGGATCATGACCTAAGCTAAAGGAAAATGCTTAACCAACTGAGCAGCCCAGGTGCCCCAATTTTTGCAACTTTTTAAAAGTGAAATTATTTTAAAATGGAAAGTTAAAAACAAACAAGCAAATAGTAATGGGCCATATTATTATCAGAATGTTACTAGCACCATAACGGCTATAGCTTGAGTCTGGTTCCCAGGTGATGGCCCTCCCGTGTGCATGGCAAATGCTGCAAATCAACTATAGATATAGCTTTAGTCACACTCAACTTAGTTTGCCCAACCAAATGACTGGTGATGTTACTAAAGAGGAAACCTATCTGCCATTCCCGGCATAGAGTATGTTTTGTATGGGAGCAGGAAGGAGGAAAGGGGGAGGCCTAGTGAAGAGCATAATAAATACCCCAGGGACAGTCCCTGAAAGCCATTCCAAGGAGTTTAGTTGTAATCCTATGAGACAAAGGGAATGATCCAAGAGTTTTGAAGACAGGAGAGTGATGTATAACAGTAACTAACATTTAATGAGCATTAGCCATGTGCCAGCTCCATATATTAGTTCAATTAATTCCCACAGTTCTATTTAATGGGTAGTACTATTATTATCCCCCTTTTACTAATAATAAAACCAAGGCAAAAGAGGAGTAACTTGTCCAAGTCACACAACTAGTAAGTGGCAAACAGGGATGTAAACCTAGGAATTCTAAATCTGGAGCCAGTGCTCTAAACCTCTGTACTTCACTGTAAATGTAAGGTTTGGACAAAATCTTCTGGTACACTGGAGAACCAGAGTGGACGGGAATGGAGGCATGGAAGCCAATGGGAAGGCTCACAATAGTTTGGGTGGAAGATGATAAGGGTCTAAATAACAATCATATTGTAATTTCAGTTTTGCAGGACTTTGCCACATTAAGGCAAATAATACCATTTAAATAGGACTGTGTTGGGGCTCCTGGGTGGTGGTTGTTTTTAGAATATAAGTGACATGATGGGAAATTTGAAGAAGAGGCCTGTAACGATGCTCATGGAGCTTACAGTTCTTTACAGTCCTTTATAAATGTCACTTTCCCTAGTGAGGAAATGGGCAATCTTAGTGAATTTCAGGGAAGTGAAGTGGCCAGAAAATGTTTTTGTATTGTTACCTTTGAAAAAGTAAGCACAATATGTGTGACCAAAAAAACAGAAGGGGAAAATGCTTCTGTATAATGAAAGACAAATTTCAGTTTTCACCTTATGGCCAACTTAGTAATATACAAGAGAAAATTGCTATAACTGCTAGGCATATAATAGGTATTCAATAAACACAGTATCAAACTGAATAATGAATGGAGTTCACTACCCAATTTTACTGCTCTAAAAGTCTTTTATACAGTGTAAGATAGTGACTTTTAGAAATATTATTTCTCCCTTCAAATTTGATAGGAAACTCATATTTCTAAACCAATAATAATAGCAATAGTAAAACAAGCTTGAATAAACCATTAATGTAAACATATTAAATTGGGAATTATTTATTTGAGATACTTCAGTTTCTAATAAATCATATTTATCTTCAGTTCAATAGATATCATAAGGTTTAACACAATGGCATTCTGTAAAGCTTATCATCCAGCTAGTAAAATGTTGGTAATATAATAGGTTATTAACTGGGACTCCACTATGAAATAATTGGTGATACTTGTTGGGATGAAATTTAATTTGTACTATGATGAGTAAAGGATTTCCCAACCCAATTTGAAAAATAAAATGAGGACACTTATCTTAGAAAGTAAATTATATGCCTTTAGCGTATTATTTGTATTCAAAGATTATCCTGTAAGCAATCATAATTTATTCTTTAATACAAGTGACCCAGATATGCACTTGAATATATTTTGTTGCTCAATGAGCAATTTAAACTCTTTTGTACTGACAGTCTGTAAGTCAGACTGGTTTCACCACTCTCCTACCAAAAAGTAAGGAAACTATTTTCGGGACATTGGGGTGGACCTGGGCAGGGAGACTGCAAAGGGAGACAGATGATGAGAAATCTTGACTGAGACGTTGTCATGTCTCAATGTTTTCCCTTTACCTGCCTTAGATATGAAGACCCTGGCCCCTCCTCCGTGTCGCTGACACTGCTTTCTGGCACTTCACTAATGTCTTCATTCACTCTTTTCATTATAGGGCTGCCACAGTTTTCCAATGCAGGGATGTCTGTTTGAGTCTCATTAGGATAAAGCCTTTTGGGTGCTGCTTTTCTCAAGATACATCCTGGGGCCTTGCTGGTTGCATTTTTGCCAGTCTTTGAATTGTTGTTTGTTGAACACATCAGATCAGACCTGAGGTATTAAGGGATTAAATGAATAAGCTGTTAGCCTGCAAATGTATATTTTTATATAACTAATGAAACAATATGGGATGACAGTGATAACACTAGTTTAGAGAATATATTGAAACAACATAGAACTGATTGTTGAAAGTTTAAAATTTACCTCAAAAAGTTAAAAATAGAACTACCTACCCTACTATCCAGTAATTGCCCTACTAGGTATTTACTCAAGGATACAAAAATACAGATTTGAAGGGATACATGCACCCCTATGTTTATAGCAGCATTATCAACGATAGCCAAACTATGAAAAGAGCCCAAATGTCCATCGACTGATGAATGGATAAAGAAGATATGATATATATATAAATGGAATATTACTCAGCCATCAGAAAGAATGAAATCCTGCCGGGGCGCCTGGATGGCTCAGTTGTTAAGCGTCTGCCTTCGGCTCAGGTCATGGTCCCAGGGTCCTGGGATCGAGCCCCGCATCGGACTCCCTGCTCAGCGGGAAGCCTGCTTTTCCCTCTCCCACTCCCCCTGCTTGTGTTCCCTCTCTTGCTGTGTCTCTCTCTGTCAAATAAATTAATTTTAAAAATCTTAAAAAAAAAGAATGAAATCCTGCCATTTGCAACAATGTGGACACTCTAATAAGGTGTATTACGTAGCATGTATTATACTAAGCAAAATAAGTCAGTCAGAGAAAGACAAATGCCATATGATTTCACTCTTATGTGGAATTTAAGAAACAAAACAGAAGCTCATATGGGAGGGAGAGGAATAAAAGAGAGAGAGAGAGAGAAGGAAACAAACCATAAGAGACTTTTTATTATTATTAACATATAATGTGTTATTTGTTTCAGGGGTACAGGTCTGTGATTCATCAGTCTTACACAACACACAGCACTCACCACAACACATATCCTCCCCAATGTCCATCACCGAGACTCCCATCTTTTTTTTTAATTTAATTTTATTATGTTATGTTAGCCACCATACATTACATCATTAGTTTTTGATATAGTGTTTCATGATTCATTGTTTGTGTATAACACCCAGTGCTCCATTCAATACATGCCCTCCTTAATACCCACCACCGGGCTAACCCACCCCCCTACTCCCCTTACCACCTCTTCTTTATCCATTCATCTGTCGATGGACATCTGGGTCTTTCCACAGTTTGGCTATTGTGGACATTGCTGCTATAAACATCAGGGTGCAGGTGCCCCTTTGGATCACTATATTTGTATCTTTGGGGTAAACACCCAATAGTGCAATTGCTGGGTGGTAGTGCAGCTCTATTTTCAACTGTTTGAGGAACCTCCATACTGTTTTCCAGAGTGGCTGCACCAGCTTGCATTCCCACCAACAGTGTAGGAGGGTTCCCCTTTCTCCACATCCCCGCCAACATCTGTCGTTTCCTGACTTGTTAATTCTAGCCACGCTGACGGGTGTGAGGTAGTATCTCATGGAGGTTTTGATTTGGATTTCCCTGATGCCGAGTGATGTTGAGCACTTTTTCATGTGTCTGTTGGCCATTTGGATGTCTTCTTTGCAGAAATGTCTGTTCATGTCTTCTGCCCAAAGCATGAGACTTAACGACAGAGCCAAACTGAGGGTTGATGGAGGGAGGTGTGTGGAGGATGGGCTAGATGGGTGGTGGGCATTCAGAACGGTACTTGTTATGATGAGCATTGGGTGTTGTATGTAAGTGATGAATCACTAAATTCTACTCCTGAAACCAATATTGCACTGTATGTTAACTAACTAGAATTTAAATAAAAAAATTTTTAAAAAGAAAGCTAAAATTTACATATATGATTATTTAGAAATTTTCTCTACAGATTCAAATTCTTCAGTAAAGCAACCCAGTGTGCATGAGACAAACTTGTGATATAGTAACAGGGCCTGAGTTAGAAAAAAAGTCAAATTACTATACATCTGCATGATAAAATTCTATACAGTCATTAAAAATCATATTTCCAGGGCGCCTGGGTGGCTCAGATGGTTAAGCGTCTGCCTTCAGCTCAGGTCACGATCCCAGGGTCCTGGGATTGAGTCCCGCATCGGGCTCCCTGCTCCTTGGGAGCCTGCTTCTCCCTCTGCTTCTCCCTCTCTCTCTCTCTCCTCCTCTGTCTCTCATGAATAAATAAATAAAATCTTTAAAAAAAAAAAATCATATTTCCAAGTCATAATCAGTGATATTGGAACCTGTTCACAATATACTTTGTGGGGGACAAAGAGGATAGAAAACTGCATATCCTCCATGAGACTGATCTTATTTTAAAATATCTTATGCAAAATAAAAAGTCTAAAAGAAAAAACAGTGAGCCAAATGTTAACAGTGGCTATCTCCAGGTGGTGCAATTTATCTTCTTTGTACTTTTCTCTATTTTCCAAATTTCCCATAGTAGTTTTAAGTTAACTTTTACAGTGAAGCACCCTGCACCAAAAAAAAAAAAAAAAAGTTATGGAGACAAAAGAAAAAAAAGAAAGAAAAACAAAGGCTGTCCCCATGTCCAAGAAAGAAGAGTTCTAGGCAGTGAGCAGAAACTTACCCATGAACCTCAACACTGTATCCCTCCTAAAAAACAACTGCCAAGACTGGAAATGAGGTTTGGGTAAGAACAAAGATAAATCAGACAGTCCTGTTAAATTCTGATCAGAAGAGAAAAAACAAATGTCTAGTGCATGATTGGTGCTATTTCTCACTAGTTAGCTCCTACTGTAGCTCTTTCTGATTCAGTCAATATTTCTGATCTAACGTTTTACTCCTCGATTGTTTCCTAAATGAAATGCCAATGAATTATTTCAGAATAAGATTGCAATGGCTTTTTCCCAACCAGCAAAGATGTTAAAACATTGGTCTTACCTTTTTTGTTTTTGTGAAAGACACAGTGATGGTGGAGAAGATGCTCTACTTGGCTCATCAGCTAATGTAGCCAAAATAAAGTTAGCTTCCAATAACATATCATCGATACTTAAAGCCATAGGTCTAAAAAAAGGCAAAGTCAGAGCAAGCATCATACATGTTTTCTGATGGACATTAGGAAAATTAGAAAATGACACTTCAGAAGTAAAAAGAGACAGTAAAAGTAGAAGTCTTATTTGTCTTTTCACAAATTGACATGGTCCTTCGACATCATCAGATCTGATTTCAAAAACCTCATCTAACCCAGTCTCTGGAATTTTAGTTCTGAAATACCATATGAAATATCATGGTTTCATAGAAATTAGACTTGTTTAAGCCATGTCTAATTAATTTTCTAATTAGGCAATTAATTTCACCATGTCAAATTTATAAATGTTTTCACTCTGCAGAATATATCTTTTTCCATTACCAATTTAAAAATGCCATGTATGGCATCCTTCAAATTTTAGTTTGGTAAGTGTTGCTAGTAAAGTTAAGGAATTCTTGAGGTGTGAATTAATTTCAAAGTGATCCAAAGGGTTTTATTATTGATATATAACAAAAGGAAGAAAGGAAGGAAGAAAAGAAGGGAGGGAGGGAGGGAGGAAATTTCCCAAGGACTTACTTCCCAGGAAAATCAAAATGAATGGCTATAGGAGCATGTGTAGCTTCTGAAAATGTCAGCATTCCCTGAAAGAGAAAAAGAAGAAAAATAGTTGAAATCTTTATTTTAAAAACTACCAGCGAAATTTTGATACAAATTTTTGTTCACCTTTAATTCTTTGAAGCAGAATGTTATTTCAGTATCAGCTCCAATTTGAAAGAAGTCAAACTCATCTGGGCCAACAAACATTTCACTGTACACAGAACTGGTCAAATCTGTTCAATATTATAGGTAAAGAAAGAATAGAATTAGTTCCAGGGGTACTTGTTAAATTTTAATATGAAAATATAACTGTAAGTGATAGATTAAAAACAGCCACCAATCCTCTGACACTTTCACTGAGAGATGGGGTCCATCCCTATGTCCCCTCCCCTTGAAGTTGGGTCGTTGGGCTCTCTGACTGCTAAGGCCAATAGGATATGGTGCTATAGATGAAATGACCTCGTGCTGGCTTCTGAGCCCAGGCCTTAAGAGACTGGCAACTTCCGCTTCCTCTATCCTCCATCCACTTCCTCTGTGCCGTAACACTCACTCTTGGAACTTGGCCACCATGCTGAGTTCATGCTATATGAAGACCAAGTTAAATGGAGAGGCCATATGTGTGCAGTCACTCTGGTTAACAGCCCAGCCCTGCTCCCAGCATCAATTACCAGCCATGTCAGTGTGCCATCTTGGATGGATTCAGATGATTCCAGACCCAGCCACTGTCTAACTGCAATTGCATGAGACCCCAAGAACTGACTGTCTAGCTGAGCCCCATCAACCCACAGAAACATAAAAGATGAGAATGAATTATTTCGAGTTTTTCACCACAAAAATGTTTGATATACACGCTCAGAAATACATACACACACCTTCTGCCCTGGAGGACACAATAAGAAGTCTGTGACCCAGGAGGAGGCCCTCAGCTGACTTACAGCCTCCAGAACCACAAAATGTAAAGATTGCCTGTTCAAAGTCACTGGAGAAAGTCCAAAAGGAGGCAGAATCAAGAAGTTATTCAGCACTTAAAAGAAGCAATGATAATGGAGAACGAGAGAGAGCAGCAGAGGGAGAGGGAGAAGCAGACTCCCCACTGAGCAAGAAGCCCGATGTGGGGCTCCATCCCAGACCCCAGGATCATGACCTGAGCTGAAGGCAATTGCTTAACCAACTGAGCCACCCAGGTGCCCCAGAGGTGCTTCATTGTGTTGTACTGAGTGACATGAGGCCTCACCTGTGCAAGCTGGGAAATGTAAGAAGTTTAAAAAGAAGGAGGAAGTAGGAACGAGGGAGAAAACAAACAACAAATAAACACCCATAAAATAGGCACTATTTGTCTGTAGGCTTCTGCCTGAGCACAGAAACCAAGTCATTCAGCAAAAGGTAGTCATCCTTGTGAATATTGCATAGCTCCCTATTGCTTCCTTCTCAAAGACGCCTCAGGATAAAGCTAAGAAATGAAAGTCTTTGTCATTTTCATCTCTCCTTAAAATCGGGAGGAAAGGGGGCACCTGGGTGGCTCAGTCGTTAAGCGTCTGCCTTCAGCTCAGGTCATGATCCCAGGGTGCTGGGATCGAGCCCCGCATCAGGCTCCCTGCTCAACGGGAAGCCTGCTTCTCCCTCTTCCACTCCCCCTGCTTGTGTTCCCTCTCTCGCTGTGTCTCTCTCTGTCAAATAAATAAAATCTTAAAAAAAAAAAAAAGTTTAAACATTTAAAAAAAAAATCGGGAGGAAAGAGGAGAAACATTTCATGGATACAAAGATATCTGAAAGGAACCACAAAAATAAAAATTCGGAATAAAAGAAAAAAGAAATACATACACACACACACACACACAAGTACCTTTTCTTTTTCTCATTTTCTTTTTTTTCTAATTGAAGTGTAGTTAACATACTGTGTTACCTTAGTTTCAGGTATACAATATAAAAATTGAACAATTCTATACATTTCTCAGTATTCATCAAGATAAATTGCTCTTAATCCCCTTTATCTATTTCACCCCCTCCTGCCAACCACTAGTTTGCTGTCTGTATTTAAGAGATGTTTGTCTCTCTTTTTTTTTTTTAAGATTTTATTTATTTGACAGAGAGAGCACAAGCAGAGGGAGAGAGAAAGAGAAGCAGGCTCCCTGCTGAGCAAGGAGCCCGATGTGGGACTCGATCCCAGGACCCTCGGCTCATAATCCGGGCCGAAAGCAGCCACTTAACCGACTGAGCCACTCAGGCATCCCGAGATGTTTGTCTCTTTTTCTTTGTTTGTTCATTTGTTTTGTTTCTTAAATTCCACATATGAGTGAAATCATATGGTATCTGTCTTTCTCTGATTGACTTATTGCATTTAGCATGATATCCTTTTTTAAAAAGATTTTATTTATTTGAGAGAGAAAGAGAGAGGGCACTCGTGCACAAGCAAGGGGAGGGGCAGAGGGAGATGGACAAGCTGACCCCTGCTGAGCAGAGAGACTGACGCAGGCTCGACCCCAGGACCCTGAGATCATGACCTGAGCCAGAGTCAGACACTGAACTGACTGAGCCACCCAGGCACCCCTAGTATTATATCCTTTAGGTCCAACCATGCTGTCACAAATGGCAAGATTTCATTCTTTTTTATGACTAATACTACATTATATATACACCACATCTTCTTTATCCATTTGTCTATGATGGATTTGGGTTACTTCCATATCCTGGCTATTGTAAATAATACTGCAGTGAACACAGGGGTGCATATATCTTTTCAAATCAGTGTTTTCATTTTTTCTGGGTAAACACCCAGTAGCAGAATTATTGGACCATGTGATATTTTTATTTTTAATTTTTTGAGGAACCTCAATACTGTTTCCCACAGTGTCTGCACCAATTTACATTCCCACCAACAGTACACAAGGGTTCCTTTTTCTCCACATCTTCGCCAACACTCATTATTTCTTGTGTTTTTTATTTTAGCCATTCTGACAGGTATAAGATGAGATCTCATTGTGGTTTTTTTTTTTCTCTCTTTAAAGAAAGGCAGACTACCACATGCAGCACCTCATTGGGATGTGTCTGGAGTCTTGGAAGCTTGACTACCCTACGCTCTCCTGCAAATGGACATTGAGAGCTTGTTTGAAGGCTCCAGCAGGGAGGCACAGCTATTCATATACCCTTGACCAAAGAACGGTCCTCCTCTATTGGGAATGTTGTCCTCTTTGAGCGCAAAGCTTTGGGAGAGACACACATGGAGTGGTGAGGGAGGAAGGGGACACCCGCCTAGCAGCCAGATCTGCTGAATCAATCCTGGCGATCAATGGAGTGACAGATGTTTCAGCCACATTGCCCTCACATCTTCATTGTGGTTTTGATTTGCATTTCCCTGCTGATGAGTGATGTTGAGCATCTTTTCATGTGTCTGTGGCCATCTGTATACATTCTTTGGAGAAAGTATTCAGGTACTCTGCCCATTTTTTAAAAAGATTTATTTGAGAGAGGGAGAGAGAGTGAAAAGAGAGAGAGTGGGAGGCAGGGGCAGAGGGAGAGAGAATCTTAAGCAGACTCCACACTGAGCACCTGACATGGGCTCTATCCCATGACCCTGAGATCACAACCTGAGCCAAAATCAAGCGTAGGATGCTTAACTGACTACACCATTCAGGTGCCCCAATCCCGCCCATTTTTTTATTGGATTACTTTTAATAGCTTCATAGTATTTCATTATCTTTACTCAACCAATCTTCTGATATTAGATTTGAAGTATAGAAGGAGATGTCCCAAACTATTAAAAGTGCTTATCTCTGGATAGTGGGATTTCAGGTGATTTTTTTTTTATTAGTGCTTATTTTGTGTTTTTTATTTTCTTCAATGAATATGAATTAATGTAACTGTAAGAACAAAGGATAAACAGTATATATTTTTTAAAAGGACCAAACACTATCCTAGAAATCATTCCTATCAAACAAGAAGGTTCATGTCACTTCCCAAGTACTAGCATAGAGTAGATTCAACAATAAACAATTGGGTCCCTAGTCAACCATAACTAGAACTACTCATGAGAAAGCTACTCACGAGGGACAATATCTCCTGGTTACTAAATGGCCATCTTTATTCAGAGATGGAATTATGGAATACAAAACAGACCCTTTCACTAGCCAAGCATATTGTTTCCTGATCATGTGCTTCTGAGTGTCAAAAAACAATGCGAGGTAAGACTAGAAAGAAGTAGTAATAGCACAATGGTAATGAGCCTGTGCCTTGGAGCCTATGTTCAGATAATCCACACTTATTAACTGTGTGACACCAGGCAAGTCACTGAGTTTCTCTGTGCTTCACATGAAAAATGGACATAATAATAGGACCTACATCACAGAGCTTACAAAGATCACATGAATTCATAAATGGAAACCATTTAGAAAAAGAACATAGAGGGGCACCTGGATGGTTCAGTTGATTGAAAAGCCGACTCTTGATTTCGGCTTGGGTCATGATCTTGGGGTCCCGGAATCGAGCCCTGCGTCAGGCTCCCCACCCAGCAGGGAGTCTGCTTGAAATTCTCTCCCTTTCCCTCTGCCCCTCCCCCTGCTCACACTCCCCTTCTCTCTCAAAATAAATAAATAAATCTTTTTTTAAAAAGTTAAAAAAAAGAACAAGAACATGGCACACACTAAACACCACAAAAGTCATCTGATCCAACTTCAGCCCTAGTTCTACTGGTTTTTCAGTCTGGAATAATACAGTTCCCTCCGTTTCTTTTCTTTACTGCTGTCACACACACACAAACACACACACACACACACATCCCAAATTACCCAAGGTTAAAGAGTCTCAAACAGCTTGTACCCAAAAGACCATGGTCAATTTTCTTGATAGCAAAAATTCTGATTCAATCATGCCTTAGTTTCTCCATTCAGTCTAGATAACTCTTGGAGGAGCTGACGTAAGTATTCACGTTTTCTGCTGTGTGTGTTTGCCATCTGGCATATCTTACTTCTCTAGTTCAAAGCTACTTTTTCTTCTTATGTGATTAACGATAATCTCAGTTGGATTGCTGGCCTCTTAATTTTTCTTTATGCTAAACACAAAGGGTGATAAAAGATGAAAAACAGGGGTGCCTGGCCGGCTCAATTAGAAGAGCATGCAACTCTTGATCTTGGGGTCATGAGTTTGAGCCCCATGTTGGGTGCAGAGATTACTAAAAAATAAATAAATTTAAAAAAAGATGAAAACCAGACCTTAAAAATCTTAACTGAAAATATACTTTTCTCAGTAACGATTCTCCTAATTTTAAAACAACCTGAATTTCAAAGCCAAATATTTTAATTATTGATTGTGTTCCATTTCCTGGATCTCTTAAAAATTTTAATGATCTTTCTACATCTTACTGCTTTTTAGACAAGAATAAACATTACGCCACCAATGTTTACTGTATGGTCAGTCATCAAGAAACGCAGGAAGTGACATGCCATCCAAGCGCCATGACAGATGTAGTCCTTACCCATTGGTTCATCACTGGAACTCTTAAGGCAAACGCTGAGTGGGGTAACAGCAAGAGTAACTTCTTCTTGACTTGATGTAAAAAGAACAACTGCCTCAGCAAGCACTCTACAAAATGTAATGAAAAGTACTATGTTACTTGAAAAACAAGAAGAAAGAATCTTATTAAATGGGACTCAAACCTTTAATCTGGAAATAAACAGGTGAGTCAGCCCAGATTTTTAAAAAAACTTACCCAAAATACCTATCTTATTTTTTCTACGTGAGCTGCAATATTTTTAGTATATTTTAAAATTCACTTGAAAGCCAAGAGAATAGTAAAACATATTCTTAGTAAGACATGTGAAAGCTGCAGAATAAACCAGACACTGGAAGAAATGTCTTCAATTCCATGGTTTTATATACCCCCTATATATTTTTAATGACCTGCAATCATACTCCTAAGGGAGGTAGTAGAAAACATCGCTGTTCAGATAGAACCGGGTGGAACTATGCTGGAGATCCGGGTGAGGGCTAGAGGTTTATGAGCAGCCTGCTACTTCTATTCTCTTTCCCTTTGTTACTTGTCCTAGATTATTACCTATTACTTTCAAGGTTGTCTTGACATCCCAAATGCCCTTTTATCCTGGGCTCCCTTTTTAAAAATAGTTTTGTTGATACAGAATTCACATACTGTACAATTCACAGATTTAAAGTTTTTTAATTTGTGTTTCCCTAACTATTAATGATGTTGAGCACCTTTTCAACCATTTGTATATCTTCTTTGGTTCAAATCCTTTGCCCATTTTTAATTAGGTTATCTTTTTATTATTACATTACAAGATCTGGGCTACTTTTGAAATTGAGATGTTGTCAGATAAAAGTGAGAGTCTTAGAATGTATGTAATGTTGATGTTAACCTGAAGCTAGAAATTAGCTCAGCAGTGTTTCTTGATGCCAAAATGTCAGGAACACCTACCAAATTCATCTAGGAACTTTTCCAGTGTTATGGTGTTTTATAAAATACCAAATAACTTGATACAAAAGAATTACAACAGAAATGTGCAATTCAAAAAGGAAGAAAAATACAATAAATATATGAAAAGATGTTCAAACTCCCAAGGAATCAACACAACAAAAAAGGACATCTAATAATACAATTTTCTACCTATCAGGTTGGCAAAAATTTTAAAGATTGATCATATATGTTACTTGAAAGGACTCCCCTATACTTCTGGTGGGAATGTAAGTTGGCTCATCATTTAAGACAGCAATTTGGTAGTCAGTATGTATGCAAATTTAAAATTTGGTAAGCCTTTGACCCAGTGATTTCATTTCTAGGACTCTGTGTTAAGCATATAAGATGGCCCCCAGTGATCCCCACCTCCTGGTATTTATGCCCTCATATAATCCCCGCCCTTGAGTGTGGGCTTAATTTACAGAGTCACTTCTACCAAAGAAAATGGCAGAAGTGACAAAATGTCAGTTCTGAGAGTAGGTTATAAAAAGACTTTGGTTCCATTTGTGAATTCTCTCTCTCAATCAGTCATCTCAATCAATTCTCTCTCTTTCTGATTACCAGTGGCCACGTTGTGAGGACAATCAGATAATCCACAGAGAGGCCTGTGTGGTGAGGAACTGAGACCTACCAGCAACCAGACTAGTGAGATTGGAAGTCGATCACCTGAGGCCTCCCCACAGCCATGTCTGTGAGTTTGGGAGTGAATCCCCCCCCGCCCAAGTCCAGCCTTCAGATGAGACCACAGCCCTGGCTGACAGCTTGACTCCAACTTCATGAGACACCTTGAGCCAGATGCACCCAGTTAAGCCACACTTATAACTATGAAGTAATCAATATCTGGTTTCTTAAAGCTCTGAGTTTGGAGGAAATTTTTTCCACAGAAATAGGCAACTCATATACTTTTTTTGTACGGCAAAAAGCTGGAAACAACGTATTTTTTCACTAATAGGACAATGGGTAACTAAATTATGGTTCAGTCATACAGTGAAAAATTATGTAATCATTAAAAACAGTAAGATTGATTTCAGTGAACTGACACAGAAACTTAAAAAATCAAGTTGCCAAATAGTAACAGTAGGACATTTTCTTTGAAAAAATTAGTTATAAGTATGTGTCTAATAAGTAATATAAATTTGAGAGGGGGGAAGAAGGAAGGGAAAGAAAGATATCCATAGCTATAAGGAGAGGGTGAGTTACAGAGAGATTGGCTATAGAAAGAAGAAGATCTACAAGGATATACCCCAAATTGTTGACTGATGTTACCTCTGCCAAGTGGGGTGAGGAGACAGGTAGAGGAGAAAAACTTTTAATTTTTTTATCTTTGCACTCCTCTATAAATTCTAGATGTATTACAAGGAGCATGTATTGCTTGTTTAATTTAAAGGACAACAAGGATAAAATATCCTTTGGCTCACAAAGTAATTAATGTTTAATGTTTAATGCTACAGCTTAACTAAAAAATTGGGTGCAGTTTTCTGACAAATGCACTTTTCTGACAAATGCACATTCTCTAAAGAAAAAATGCAAACACTTGGGATAAAATCAGTTTACATAAAAACATTAACGTTTCCTTGTGTTGTGTGTTTTAAGACTCAGAAGGCAATATATAAATGCAAAGTATAATTAGGGAATATATTTTTCTCTTGGTATCACTTGATGTAGAAAGGCACTAATGGGATATTTTTAGAACTTTCTTGCCACTAAATCATTATTGCTACCATTAAGCAATTATATTATCTACTATTATCTTTTTCACAGTTTCCTCTTGACCTTGTAAGGGGACTTCTCCAAGTCAAATGTTAGCTTTTTTAAAAAATATAACTGATTTCAAATTTTAATTAAGGGCATTAACTCTTTACTCTGTGCCCACATTATATTTAGAGAAAAAAATAAACACCAGAGAACTCATTACCTTGGTTGAATAATTAGCATATTAGAACACATATTCTTTTCAAAAATAACTTGCAAGGGCTGACTTTCTTGAAAACACACATTATGAGTTCTTCTAATACCTTAAAAAGAATAAAGCAATCTGTTAATAATTTTAAGTGCAACATGAACTATTTAAAAAGTCTATGTTTCACAGCCACGTTAAAATAATAAAATTAAAGAAACATTTCCTATCTGGCAGGTGCCTGTAGCTTGAAGGAGCAGAATTCCTTTATGAAATGTGTTTATCGCCCCTTAGTGGACACCATGCAACATGCCATATCCTCGGACCAATCAGGCAGTAGTTTCCAAGTTCTTTTGAAATACAAGTTATTTCTTAAATTGTGGGTAAAATAGTCATTGCCCACTCTAGTTCATGTGCCTATCATTCTCTTTCACTACCTTTCATCCAGGTCTGATATTTCTGGGTTTCTGGGAATTCTGGAAGTCAGACATGAACACCTGGTCTGTGAATTCTTTTTCTCTGAGGGGAGTAAGAGGGGAAGAGTGTGTAGCCCTACCGGCTATGGCTGTATGTGCCAGCAACTGTAGTATGCATTTTACACACATTACCTATGATCTTCACAACAGCCTTGTGGGGCAGGCACTTAGTCTCAGAAAAGGAACCTGTAGCTCAGTGAGGCTAACTGACTTTTTAAGGTGATGCTATTTTAACAAGTATAGGGATAATTTGAACCTAAGTTTGAATATAGAGCCCATGTAATGAAATCCAAATGGGCTGTAACCTTCTACAGCACAATAATGTTGTGGTGAGAATCAAAAGGACTCACTAGAAACAACATTTCTCATCTTACTTGGATTTTTTTTCTTTTAGGGAGGAGGGGGAGAGGGAGAGAGAGAATCCCAAGCAGGCCCCATGCCCAGTGCATGAGCCTGATACAAGGCTCGATCCCATGACCCCAAGATCATGACCTGTGCTGAAATCAAGAGTCGGACAGCTAACCAACTGAGCCACCCAGGTGCCCCTGGGGGTTTTTTTGGATACAAAATTAATAATGGCAACATTTATTAATTTCATATTTACAGACCACCTACTATGCACAAAGCTGCATTAGTTAGCTTTTGCTGGAAAACAAACCACTCCAAAACGTAGTGGCTCAAAATAACAAACATTTATTATTTCTCACAATTCAGCGGAGTAGTTCTGGTCTCAGCTGGCTTAGCTGTGGCTGGACATCTTGGATGGCTTCACTTTCACATTTAGGACCCAGTGGAACAACTGGCATGGCTGAGACAGCTGAGGCCTCCCACCACATGGTCTTAATCCTCCAGAAGTCTACTGCGCAGCACTTGTTCTCATGCTGAGGGAAGGGTTCCTGCTTTCACAGGGGAAGCTGCCCTGCCTCTTAAGGCCTAGGCTTGCAACTCACACAATATCAGTTCTATTTAATTGATAAAGCAAGCCCAACACCAGCCAAGATTCCAGCTGGGGAAACAGACTCCAGCTTTCAAAGGGTGAGGAGCAGCAAATAATTTGTGAGCACTTGTCTGGTAATCTACTACACAGGAACAATTTCAGGAGCTAGGGATTAGCAAAGCACAAATCAGACAAAAATCTCTCTCTTCACAGAGCTTACCTTCTAGGGAAGGAAGACAGATGATAAGAAAATAAATAAGTAAAATAATTGATAGGTCACATCGTGATAAGGGCCACAGAAAAAAAGCAAAGCAGAATGGGCTTTAGGGGGTTCCAGTCATGGTAGATAGCAATTTTAAATAGGGAGGTCAAGGAAAACCTCATGGAAACGAAGCCATCTGAGTAAAGACTTGGAGGAGGAGAAAGAGCAAAGCAACATGCTATCTGGAGAAGGAGCTTGCTAGGCAGAGGGCTCCCGACCCATGTAGGACCTTATTGGCCACGGTAAAATCTCTGGCTTTTACCCTGGGTAAATGGGGAGGCTTGGGGGGAGGCGTTGAGAGAATTTTGAGCACTAGAGTGACATATCCCCCTTATTTCATCTTTACACTCATCCGTACATCTTAGATGTACTACAAAGAGCATGGCACTGCAAGGAATTACTGTGATTTCTATTTTGGGAAGACACAAAGCTCTAAAGTTGGCATAATTTACCCTATTTTAAAAACTATTTCCAAGTTACTTTTGGAGCAACAAGTATTAGATGCTTATGGTCTAAAGTTGAAAAGATACCAAAGAATAGTCAGTGAAAAGGAAGTCACCCCCAACCCCTAACTCCTGCCACCCCCATACCCTCCACAGAGGGGACCACTGTTAGCAGTTTCTTAGGTATTCTTAGAAACAGCTGTGGCATATGCAGCACAATCGTACCTCTAGAACATACCTCTAAATATTTCACTCAAGTGAATATTGGCATGGCCAAAGATGTCCAAGCAGAGAAATGTCTAATTTCCTTGTCATTCCTGATGCTCCTTTTCTTGCCACTTGCTTCCTTCTCCTTTTTCCTTATCGGCAAGTGCTAAACACTTTCAGCCTATACCTCTGCTCCCACTGCTTGCTCCTCATAGAATGCCTTCCCATTTCCACCTCCTGGAAACTCATCTAGTCACTCACCTAGTCACTAACCACAAAGCCTTTCCTCTTCACCTTTCTCTCCTCTGAATCTCTGGCCCAAAGAACATCCACTGTACCCTTTCTATTTTATCTTATTTTTTTAAGTAGGCTCCACGTTGGGCATGGAGCTCACATGGGGCTTGAACTCACGACCCTGCGATCAAGACCTGAGTGGAGATCAAGAGTCAGACACTTAACTGACTGAGCCACCCAGGTGCCCCCCTACTGTACCCTTTTTAAAGCATGTACCTCTTCACTGCATTTTTCTAGTCTTCTAGTTTAATAACAATTTTCCTTGATAGGATACAAATGGGATAAACATTTAGAAGTCCTGTTTTCTCCCTGGGTCATTTATTAACTTTATCTTGTGCTGCACAAAGTACTGGACCGTAATGCAATAAGGAATTTTGCATTAGAACGGACTTTCTTCATGGAGAAAATCTTACTACTAAGAACAACAACTGGGGCATTTGGGTGGCTCAGTCAGTTAAGCGTCCAACTTGATCTCAGCTCAGGTCTTGATCTCAAGGTTGTGAGTTCAAGCCCTGCACTGGGCTCCATGCTGGGAGCGGAGCCTACTTAAGAAGAAAAAAAAGATAACAACAACAGCTGAACTAAAGCAAATGCTTAGTCACATGTTTGGCTTAAATTCTGGCATAAGCTCCTTAATATCTCACAGACCGGTGACAACAGCTTGGGGCCCAGCAGCCAGGCTAACGATCATTCTGAGTAGTAGTGTCTCATCCCATCTGCTCCTGGCCATGGGATTCCTGACGCTAGGGCAGAATTCTACTTGCCACTTCATAAGCTCAATTTGGAACTTCCCTCAGTGGGTCCAGAGAACTCTTTCAAACCTGAAGGGGTACAGCTAAGGAACAACCATTATTTTGGAGATGTTACATTTGTAGAGTTTAGAATTTCAGAGGTGAGTGATACTTCAAAAATCTTGTAAGTTATTTAAATGGGACCCAATCCCTATAAGTTCACTGTTAAGCAAGTTTAAAGTCATTAGCACATCTGTAGAATGCCCTTTGACAAAAACTTGAAACCCTGAAGTGGGATTCCAGCCTTCTTGACATCACTTCATTAATACATGCGTATGAATCAAAGTTTTATTTTCGCTCAGTATCCCAGTGAACTCCTCTTCTCTTATGGAAGCCCCTCTCTGCTGGAGGCCTGTCTCCTTGAGCCAGGACAGAACACGTTAGCATGTGGTGTGTATCAGAGAGTGTGCTTCAGGAACTCACAGACTCATTTTTAGCAATTCTAGGGCCAGTGCAAAGAAAGAATGGAGAATGGATGGAATTATTAATAAAATAAATATTTCAAGTAAATCTTGGTTCTCGATGATACAAATCCTTGTTTCCTGTTAGCAGATGCTAAATAATTCAAGAAATCACTGTGCTGGAAACTTTTCAAGGTTAGATTTAGAGAAGTTAGTCTTTTTAGTAGCTCATGTTTTTTTCAATTGTTTTCTATCAATGAAGAGAGCCAAATTGACATCACTGTCCTTAATTCCTTCCCAAATCCCAAACATATATTTCTAGCAGCTTATGGGCTATCTCTACCCAGGTGATTTTTTTCAACTAAATCTGAACAATGTTTCCCCACCAGATTACAGATATAAAGTCGCAAGCATAATTTGCTGTGTGCATACAGTTTTGGAAACCATAACTACTCCAGTTACCTAGCAGCCTTCCTTCCTGAATTGGCCCTTCCCCCTTTCATAGCAGCCATGAGGCTGGGGGGTGGGGGGACTGACTCTACTTTCAGCTGGTAGGCCCTCATTGGTACAAAGCAACTGGTGTGATCTTATCCCCCTGCAATTAAATTTGGACCAGATATGGCACTTAAGAGATGGGAATGCCCTGGCCACTAGGATTGATTTAGGTTGGTACAGTCAGAGCAAAGTCAAGCGCTTTTGTTCACTGGATACATAAGGCAAGGCTCTCACTCCCACTGGATGTGAAAGAGGAAATAATTAGCCCCAGCTGCTGCTCAAGCCGCCTTAGCACTGAAAGTTTGTAAGAGAAGCCTTAGGATAAATCACATGGAGGAAAGTAGAGCTGAGTGAATTTAAAAAAGGAAAGGGGCGCCTGGCGGGCTCAGTTAAGCGTCCTGGGCTCAAGTCATGATCCCGGGGTCCTGGGATCGAGCCCCGCATCGGGCTCCCTGCTTCTCCCTCTCCCTCTGCCCCTCTACCTGCTTGTGTGCGCACTCTCTCTCTCTCAAATAAATAAATAAAATCTTTAAAAAAAAAAAAAAAAGAAAAGAAAAGGAAGGAGGAAAAGAAGCAGCAGCTGCTGCAGCCTTGATCAAACCATGCCTGTGACCTAATTTTGAAATTTTTTCATTTACAAGAGCCAATATTCCTCCTCATTATTAAAGTCAGTTTGAGTTGGATTTTCCGTGTGTTTTTTTTTCCCTGTTAGTTGCAACTTAAGGCATCCTAACTCACAGCTTTCCTACAAAAGCTATTAAAAATCAACCAATTACAAATATGTATTAGACATTACTCTAATTAAGCGACTTGAGAAATTCTTAAGAAACTGAAGGGGCGCCTGGGTGGCTCAGTCGTTAAGCGTCTGCCTTCGGCTCAGGTCATGATCCCAGGGTCCTGGCAGCATCGGGCTCCCTGCTTGGCGGGAAGCCTGCTTCTCCCTCTCCCTCTGCAGCTCCCCCTGCTTGTGCTCGCTCTCTCTGTCAAATAAATAAATAAAATTTTTAAAAAAGAAAGAAAGAAACTGAAAAGTTGGTTGTTTAAAATCTAGCTGGAAATAAGGGATGAGGGTCATTGTAATAACAGCAATCATTGACGATGTACTCCCTCTGCGTCAGACACCACGCTATGTGCTTCACACTGTGATCCTGCTTCACATTCACAACAACCCCGGAACATGAGGGTAGATAAGATTATCCCCATTTACAGAAAAGAAAATGACAGTACAGAGAACTGATGAGAGAAAAACTCTCTAACGGCCTGATATACAAGGGAGGCCATCTTAGATTTCTTCCTAAATTCACATGACTGTACATAAACTTTGTTCAAACCAAAAGCCTGATTTATGGCCTGCCATGCATGCAATGTACATCTGCTTTGTGATGAGTAGCCTAAACGAAAACCATCTTGTCCTTGAGGCATCTCAATCAATGCTCCTCCTCCCTGCATTCCTTTACAATGAAACTTGTGATGCCTGCCTACATACTCATCTATAATCTTTTCAGCTTTTACAAGATGTAAAATTGTATATAACCCTGTAAAAACTGTTCATCCTCTGGAACACTTTCTTCCCTGTGAAAAGTGTGTTTCCAGGCAGTTGTCCTAACTTGGACTCGAATAAAACTCTCTTACTTTCTGAGATTCTACAAGGTTTGTTCAATTTGCGTTGACAAAGCTTATGTACTTTCACAAAGCTAATAAGTATAGAAGAATCCATACCCATGTCTGTGATGTCAAGGCCTGCTGTGCTTTTTTTTTTTTTAAAGATTTTATTTATTTATTTGACAGAGAGATAGAGAGCACAAGTAGGCAGAGAGGCAGGCAGAGGGAAAGGGAGAAGCAGACTCCCCGCTGAGCAGGGAACCCAACGCAGGACTCGATCCCAGGACTCTGGGATCATGACCTGAGACGAAGGCAGACGCTTAACCGACTGAGCCACCCGGATGCCCCTGCCTGCTGTGCTTTTAATCATGCTCTTTACATGATTCTGCTATTATGTGAACTAAAATTCAAAGGGGGAAAATCACGTTAAATCATTGATATTTTGCAGGGAAAAAATTAAAGAATATAATACAAATAGGAGCTTAAAATATTAAGATAATTGTCAGGCAAAGTAACAGATAAAAGATAATTGTAACACTATGATAACCTTCCAGAACACCATTCCACTACAAAAAAAGATTTGGACTAATATCACAAGCATGAGTTGTAAAGCATACAATTCTACCTGCTAACTTCAAATAAAATAACAGCAATCATAAAAATTATAACTAGAGCTAACACTTAGAGAAGGTGCCAGGCATTCTTTTAAACACTGTGGAACTCTAACTTCCTATAACTCATTGAATCCTCACAAAAACCCAAGAATGCTGGGACTAACATGCTCCCCATTTTACATTTAAGGCAAATGAGGCACACAGTTGTAAAATAATTTGTCCAAAGTATCAGCAAGGAAAGGGCAGAGCAGGATGCTGCCCGAAACTTTGTGGCCTCCAGAATCCATGTTCTTAATCACTGTGCTAGAGATACTTAAGCATGTAAATGTCCTGTGAGTAAAACATTTGAATATCTACCCTGCAAGGCTGTGAGGTAGGAAATCTGTTTTACAGCTTGGTGTGACAGAGAGAATGTATAAAGGTTTTGGCTCCTACTACTGGGGCTCGACTCAAAGCCAGGTTCGGCGACTTACTAGTTTTGTGACCCTGGGCCAGTTACCATGCTTCTTTCAGTCCCAGATAAGTACTATCTGCCTCCCAGAGGACTTTCAATACAAGCTGGCACTATTCCTTTCTATTCTTACCGAAGAACACTGTTTCCAAGGCACTCTTACAGAATATCATCAAGCAGCCAGTTAATTTTAGAACCACCTATTGTTCGAATTCAAGTGGACATTTAAAAAAAAATTGGTTTGTATGCAGGCAAAGCTTGTGCCGCTGACAAGTTGGAAAAGGAAAAGTACCAGTCACTTCATAATACTTCTACAGAGACAAGTAAGATAATACTTTTCAAGTACTTACAATGGCTCTACCACAAAACCAAATTCTAAGCAGTAATGCAATGAGAAGTCTTAATATGCAGTTTGAATATGCTAAACATAAAAAATATTAACAAAAAATGACAATACTTTAAACTAGTTTTAATGAGACCTACCATGTCTGCAGAAGAACTGAATGACGACTTTGCACAGATCAGAACTGGTGAATATTTTGCACTTCTCTACATTTCTTTCAAGGGAATTCAGACATCTAAAGATGGGCAGAATTGACTGTAACACAAATACAACATAGAACAGCAGATACTTAATATGGTTGTTCTATTAGTTTAAATGAACTAACAAAAGAAGAGCATATATATTCATAAGTGAATAGATTTGCCTTGCATTGCCTTTTTAAAATATTTTTAAAGTTTTTATTTCCGTTTTGAACTATGTAACTATGTAATGTCAACTTTAAAAATAAAATAGCCAATATTCATTTTTTTTTCTGGGTTGAAAAGGTATTTTCCCCTTCTTTTAACATTTTATTTTTTTCTCTTTTTAAATTTAAATTCAATTAACATATAGTATAATATTAGTTTCAGAGGTAGAGTTTAGTTATTCCTCAGTTGCATGTAACACCCAGTGCTCATTACATCAAGTGCCCTCCTTAATGCCCATCACCCAGTTACCCCAACCCCCACCCCCAGCCACCTCTCCTCCAGTAACTCTCAGTTTGTTTCCTATATTAAGAGTCTCCTGGGGTGCCTGAGTGGTTCAGTTGGTTGAGCATCTGCCTTCAGCTCAGGTCATGATCCCGGAGTCCTGGGATAGAGCCCCATGTCAGGCTCCCCACTCAGCGGGAAGTCTGCTTCTCCCTCTACCCCTCACCCCGCTCATGCTCTCTCTCTCAAATAATAAATAAAATCTTTGAAAAAAAAAAAAGTCCCTTATGGTTTGTCTCCCTCTCTGGTTTCATCTTCTTGTATTTTTCCCTCCCTTCCCCTGTGATCCTCTCTTTTGTTAAATTCTTAACAATTTAAGAATTTAAATTCCACATATGAGTGGATTTTATAATTGTCTTTCTCTGACTTATTTCACTTAGCATAATACCTTCTAGTTCCATCTATGTCATTGCAAATGGTAAGATTTCATTTTGACGGCTGAGTAATATTCCATTGTGTGTGTGTGTGTGTGTGTGTGACACACACACACACACCTCATATCTTTACCCATTCATCTGTTGATGGACATCTGGGCTCTTTCCATAGTTTGGCTATTGTGGACATTGCTGCTATAAACATTGGGGTGTCCTGCATGCCTTTTTAACCATGTATTAACTGCAGAATAGATGTCATGTACTATGTAATAAATATTTCTACAATATACGAGAAAACCAGGGCCACTTATATTTACCTTCATTCCCAATTTGCAATTTAAATTTGATGTTGTCGAATCATTCTCATTTACTTTCACTGAGGTTGACCATTGATAATGTTGAAAAAACACAGGAGAAAACAGGACACATCCATATGCTGATCGACAAGAATTCACAGATCTTAAAGCAAGCTGAAAAATAAGAGATATTAAGGAAAAAATCAACTTTCTCTAAATGATTAATTCAAAAAATTCTATTATGTTTAACGCTGCAGTTAAATGTGTTCAAATAAGGCTATGGGATGGTAACTGCATTATATGGACTACATTATAAATACGAATTATTATAGATACTAAATCATCATACACTATACACTATAGATCATACATATAGACACTATACATCATACACTATATTGAATTTGCATACATATACATACATGATACACATCTGTATTGAATACATACAGGTATTAACTCTAAAGTCTTGCAGGTTGAAATTGTAAAGTTGTGAAGGCCTTTAACTTTTATGCACAAAGTGGCAGAAGGCAATGTAAAAGGGGGTAAAAAGATGGCAGCAGAATGGCAATCTCTTGCCTCATCTAAAGCAAAAATCGTCGGACAGCTCCAGCCAACTACTTCCACCTGGGAATGCTGGCCCCAAACTGTCAGATCTTCTAAGCTTTTAAGAGAAGCAAGAAACTCAGATCTTTATATGGACTCTACCAATTTTTAAGCTTACGAAATTATTTCATTAAAAAACGGAATATAGTGCATTCCCACAAAACACTTCTGCAAGCTCTATCTAGCCTCTTGACCACCAGTTTGCAATTTCTGGTTTAAATCTCTTGTGTTTCTCTGCATGATTTTTATAATATGCTCTCAATGTATTCAGATATATAAAATAAAGATGAACAGTGAAAGGGATAATTACAATTTCTGGGTTTCCTAGTTAACATTCAATCTGGCCTGGGGTCTTTAAACATCTTCTTTTGCCTTAATAGATGGTATATTTGTTAATTTTCTTACTTACACCTTTTTCAGATGGGTCTAGCCACAGCTCGTCACTGATTCGTGATAGAGCTTGGATTGCTTTCCCAAATACTACAGAGAAAAAGAAAGGTACTGCTTACATTCTTTCCTCAAACAATAAATACAAATCATAGGACTACTTCAGCATTTACAGGACTCAAGTTTTAATGCATAAAGAACAGTGTTTTATAGACTAATGCTAAAAATTGCTTTAAATACATATTAATACTCTTGACAAAATGCTAGACACACAGTAAGAGCTCAGTAAATTTACAGAGTGCGCAAAATGATAAAATGCACACTCTTCCTTTCTGTATGTTTGCATGGAGCTACTGTGGAAAGCCAATTTCCATACTAATGTATTTTTAGATTTGGTTTAAATAAATATATTACCTGCCCCCCCTCCAAAAAAGAAGTGTGAAAACACAGCATGGAGGGATTTGAAGGGATTTAATAACTTCAGGGGTGGCAAGGTCAAAAAAAGTCACGAGAGAGAAATTAGAGGCATTCAAGATGCATCTCTGATATTTGAGGGTAGCATGCAAGATGCCAGATCTTCCCACCAAACACACTCAGATGCCCTGTAAGGAAGAGAGGCTAGGCTGGGTGACCTATTTGTCTAATCTGATACGACACTGTTAATATTCTTAAGAACTATGAATAAGTACAAAATGTGGCAAACACATAGAGGATATTATGCGAAGCCCACATGGATATTATGCGAGGCCCACGTTGGGCTCCATGCTCAGCATGAACTCTGCCCCTCTCTTTCTCTTCCCCCACTTGTGCTCTCTCTCTCTCAAATAGATAGATAAATAAATAAATAAACAAATAAAGTGGATGACCACACCAATCCATAGAACAGTAGAAAAAAGAAAAGATTCCAGAACATAAAATCAGATTATAATGCTTAAGAATCAGAAGTGTGTGCATTGGGGGTGCCAGCCTGAAACTGAGATGGGATGATGGGGGGGTGAGGGGAGATGGAGGCATTTCTCCCTTTTTAGCACTTCACATTCAACACTTTTTCCTGGAGTTGCCTGACGCAGACCTTTCACTCATCTGATGACTAGTTTTTGAGCACCCACTATGTTCCTAGCACAACCCACTGTGATGGGGGTAGAGCAATGAACAGGACAGGAACAGCTCCTGCCCTCACAGTGCCTTGCCTACAGTCCAGGAGGAAAAGCAAGAACAATCATAGAAATAGTTGTTTATTGAGAACCGAGCTATACACTGCGAGAGAACTTCTAGAACGCTAAGAACCTGTAACAGCTGGGAGCTTGTGCTTCCCTTTCCTATTCTTTACCACCGTTCCATGAATGGCCTCAACCCAGGGGAAGCTAACCATGACACAAGACGCCATTCTACGATCACTTCCAGGTTACAATCCGTAGGAAACCATTCTTTTCTTAAACAGAGACATTCCGGAGTAACTTAACGTTTAAGTACATTCCCATCTATTATTGAGCTCTTTACATGCATCTGTTTCATTCCTACAACAAGCCCTGTGACGAAAATGCTGTTATTATTCTCATTTTTACAGATGAGGAAACTGAGCCCCACAGTGATTCAGTGGTTTGTCCCAGGTCCTACACCGAAAAATGGTAGAATCTAGAATAAAAACCAGGTCAATGCTTTCCTCATGGCACTAAAATACTTTTTACTGTCTACGCATCATTTTTTCCCCCAACTCCTCCTCACGCAGTCCTTATCATTCCGAGTTTGAGGCCCACATTCCCAATCTCTGTTCCAGTGGTGCAGTTTCATTTCATGGACACCGAGGACAATGAATACTATGCATAAATAAATGCAAACGGGCCCTCTTCCTCCTCTTGGAAGCTACTAGGAGCCTGGGTGGGTGGCGGCTGTTCGGTGCCAGGCCTTGTGTCGCCAGCCCCTTTGCATAAAGGACAAAGGGGAAGTCGCCCCCATGAACCTTAGTCTTTCTTTCTCTCTCTCTTTTTTTGCTTTCCCTTTTCTAATTAGGAATGCAAGAAAAGTCGCTCCACCTTTCACTTGACTGCCGCTCATCCCGCACTTCAGCATGGCCGCGGGCCCTAACAAGCCGCGCTCCAAGGCGCGCCTCTGCTCGACGGCCCCAAATGCCCGGATGTCGCCCGCTCTTTTCGAAGCTTCGAGATGTTACACCTCCCGCCCCACGCCACCATTTCCCAAAGAGCATCTGTTTTACGGCGGGGAAGGGCCTCTGCGGGCCTCCGTAGGCTGTCTCCTGCCGACACCATCTGTCATTGGCTGAGAGCGAGGTGGGCGGGGCGCCGAGGAGCCCGAGGAAGAAGGCGGCGGCGGCGGTGGTGACTGAGCGGAGCCCAGTGACAGGATGGTGAGGACGACAGATGCGGCGACCGAGGCCTAGCTGTCGGCCGCGGTGCTGCGTCCTTGGGAGCAGCTGGAAGTCTCTAGGCGAGGGCGTGGGCCATTACGGGGGTCGTGGCGGGCGCAGCCCAGGGCCAGGCCTGGAGAAGGCCTACGGGAAGGGCAGGGGAGGATAAGGAGCAGCCACCTCTGGCTGCGGCCCGCTCTGGCTTCGCAGCCCCGCCCCAAGGGCCAGAGGACGCCCGAGGGGAAAGGGGCCCCTCTCAGCGGCTCGTCCTGTCACGAGACCCGCACGCCCGAGTCGGGAAAGGCCTTTGGGCCTGGGCCTCCAGCGCCCCCGAGAAAGGGGCACGGTACCCCACCCTTTTCCAGATGTTTCCCTACTCCTTTCCCTTAAAAGGCGCCTCACGCTGGTTGGGGTGTACCGGTTGTCACCCGCATGTGTTGAAAGCTGGCTTCTTGGATGCAAAACGGGAAGTAACGAGCAGAATCCCCTATCCATTTTGGTTTGCCATCCGGGGAAAAGGCGTACAAACTGTCCCCTTCGCCCCTGAAATAAAGTGCTGCTGCCATTGAAATGTAGCGAGTCCTCAGGGGACTGGATTTGGCTCTTAGAATGGTTGGAACTATTGTTTCCTAAATGGTTTATGAGCTCCTTGAAATTGGAAAATTTTGTGAATATGTGTGTTTTTCCAGGTAAGGAGCCAGTATGGCGCCAAGGGGTACGTTGGGGAATTTTACCTCCGTCGTTCATCAGATTGCCCAGCCAGCTTCAAGGCTGGCCCCCCACCCGCTGGCCTCCAATAGGTTTCCGCCCCTAAGACCTTCCTACGTAAAAACTCAGGAGCTGCTACTGGAGAGGGCTCGTAGCTGTAATCAGATTTTCAGAGATGCCCTTCACCCCCTAAAAAGTTAAGAACGTCTTCAAAAAGGAGCTCAGATTATCTTGCTATTTGTGTTGATGAGGGTAACTCTAAAGGGACTTTTCTTTTTGATGAGCATCCATTGCATTTTTAAGATTATCATGATTCTGACAAGCACAGCCTTTGAGGTGGCTTATAGATGTGACAGCCACAGATTTATGGTTTATGCTTCTTTAATGTCTTGTATAAGTGAAAGGCTTTAATCCTGTTTTTGATTTTTGCTTCTAAACAGACTCCAGTTTAGAGTGATCGGTTTACAGTAATTTTGAGACAGTTTTGAGAAGATGACATATGATTCCATACTCATGTTTCTAAAGGTTTTTTTGAAAGATGAACACTTTTTTAGGGTAGTTATACTGGAACATAACTTGTCACCTGAGATAGAACTGGGTAAATTTAGCATTAGCTGATTCTTTTATGATTAAAAATCTTTCATTTGGCAAAGTAGACTAGAAATGTTCAACACTCAGTAGTGTCCAGAGCCTATGGGCAGCAAATTCAGCTGTGGAGAAGGTCCAGTTTTAGCTGGAGGAATGTGTTTGGTTTTTTATCATCTTTAGTTGGTGACTTCACCATCTGATAATGTATTCAGAGTGCTGTGTTAGATCTATACAAAATAATGATCTAGCTGCAGCATAAATTTTCCAGCTACTAGAATTTGAGCATAAGAGAATTAAAACCAGTATACTTGAGGAATAATTAGTCCTTAAGAATCCACAAAATGTTAGCTTTCTTTTACATTGTTCCTGATGAATTTTCCAAATTGTCCTATAAAATTCTAAACAGCAGGAAACAAAAGGGAAGGGAGTCAATATAGAGAATAAGATTAGAAGTAGAAAAAATTGACAAGGCAGATTTTTTTTTTTTTAACAGTGTGTGTGTGTCATGTTTAAAAATACAGCAAATGGTTCTTTTGGTATTGTTTTGAGCAAAGCCAGTTTTTAACATTTCTTTCATAACACTCAAATCATTAACAATTGTTTGCATATTCATTTGATACGAGTTTTTTGTTGCTCTGTTTTTGGTTTCTTTTCGTTGCTTTCTTTTAACATTGGTCATGTTTCACCCTTTTTTTTCATTCCCCTGTCTGCAATCAACTTCTTCATTCCACTAAGGCTGGGCACAGAGTAAGTTTCTTCTCTTAGCTCGTACTAACAACGGTGGTCGGGTGGCTGATTACTGGGATTTTCACCCTTTTACAGTCTATCCAACAGGAAGTAGCCAAATTCCTATGCTTTGATTGGGTTGGTTCTTTATTTGAATTTAACAAGACTGTCATTTCCAGGATCTTTTACTGTCTCAAAAGACTATAAACTTTGTCTAACTTGAACTGTCCAAAGTGTGGAATTTGGGCAAGGACATTCCTCAAAGTATGACATTTGTTATGTGACACTGTTTCCCCAATAACTTAGTCACCTACATGAAACAGGAGTCTTAGTAAGAATCTTTACTAGTTTGAAATAATTTTTGTTTGCTCATTCATATAGTTATATCTTTAAACTGCTAATAATCTGGATACACTTTGGCATAATCCATAATACATGATAGAATTTAGGTCATCGATCATTATAAAGTATCATGTCATACTAATACTCTTTTTAGCACATTCAGATTGAACAGCTCGTTCATTTATCAGTCCCAAAGACTATCATCCTGCAATAGACATAGACCCTTTATGAGTTTGAGGTTCTTTTTTTTTTTAATATAGAAATCTGTTTTTTGCCTTTTCCTCATATGCCAGCTGCTTACATTAACTATGTACTTCAGTCCCTGTCTGAAGGGATCCCCCTCTAAAAATGAAGATTGTTCTCTCTCCAGGTACTTTTGCATTGATTACCAATGAGGGTGGAAACTTCATAGTGGTTTTTAGTTTTACACTAAGATGTTTTATCCACTAAGATCTGGATTGAAACAAGTCATTGAACAAATACCAGCTGAAACTACTCTTTAAAAAGAAGAAACTTTTTAACAATTTATTTTTAAAGTGTGCTAGTTTTGTAACCTTGTGTTACTTCAATTACTCTGTGTCCTTTGTAATCATGTTGATATTTGTTGCAAGATGAATCAAGTTTGTTTCATAATTTTAGTTTCACACATTTTGTTTTGATTAAGTTTAAAAGTCTATGGTGGCAAAACTTTTCTGTTTTTATTCTACTTTAGATACTTAATGTTTTCTTGGATGATATTAAGGAATCGTCATGCCTTCTTTAAAAGCAGTTAAAGGGCATGTACATTTATGGATGGGATGTCTGTGTGGGAAAACATCCTGTTACAGAATGAAGGTGTTTATACTAATCAACATGAAGAAATTGATTGTTGTCCTTTGGACGATAAATAGTTAAAATGACCTTTTGACAATATTCCATTAAATGACTGAATTAAGTAATGTTTATATGTCAATATTTTAAATTGTAAAATTAAAAGTTTTACAGGATTGAGGTTTTTTATTATACTTAAGTGCAAAATTTATTTTTGTCATCTGAGACTGTATTACAACTCTAAACCACCTCCTCCTAAATTCATCACTTATTTAGCTGATCTTTCTCTTTCTCTCTCTCTCTCTCTCTCTTTTTTTTTTTTAACGCTCTAATGCACATGAAAGACTGTGAAGATGTTATTTTAAGTTTGGGAACCAAACTGAGGATACATAGGCCATTTAATCTAGATAGTAAACGTATGACAATGAGGATTTCATAAGGAGGAGAGAACAGCGACCAGAATTCAAAAGCACGGGTTTGTCCTATTGAAACTCTTTGAAACATAGGCTGTTTTTATTCCTTTGTACTATATAGCTAATAGTTTTTAGTAATAAATATTGTAAATTTTGGCTACTTTTCCTCCAAATAGTTTCAGTCTAGTAAACATAAATTACAGAATTAAGTTTTTTCTCTATCACTACATTTTTAACAATTCTCTTTAATGTTCCTGGAACATCGGAATCAGTACACTATGTTTTACATTATAGCTGCAGAAATATGAATTACCCTGTCACTCAAAAATGCCAAATTCCATAGGACCCCATAGTATATTTTTCATTTTGCAATTTTTTAAATTCAGTCATTTATAGGTCTCTAGATGAATTGCTTGAGAAAGCCTGGTTTTATTCTTGGTAAATAGAATGATGACCTGTATTGTGAATACACACTGTTTATGACCAAAATAAAATAAAGATGATTAGAACAGAGTATGTTACCATGTGTGTCTTTGTTTAAATGGTCATGGTAAGAACTGTATGGATAACTTCCGCTTCTTTGGGTTCTGAAATCTCTGCTTAGTTTAAAGGGGAGTTAAGAGAGGAGAACATCTTGTTTTGACGTCATGTTTGACATTACACCTTGTCTCTCCTTGACACTTTAAAGTTGGTGTTGGTATTAGGAGACCTGCACATCCCACACCGGTGCAACAGTTTGCCGGCTAAATTCAAAAAACTGCTGGTGCCAGGAAAGATTCAGCACATTCTCTGTACTGGAAACCTTTGCACCAAAGAGAGTTATGACTATCTCAAGACTCTGGCCGGTGATGTTCATATTGTGAGAGGAGACTTCGATGAGGTGATGTATTTCTCTTTACATTCACAAATATTTCTTTTCTTGATTCTTACATATATAAGCTTTATCCTTCACACCTGAGTTTTGCAGTTGTTGAGGGTTTTTTGTTGTTGTTGCTAACTTCCCAAATACAAATTTACTACACCTACTTGTCCCTTACTCTTTGAAAATCACCGATGTTAGACTACTCGGTAAGTATATTAAATACTTGTTCTAAACTAAATTGATTGGTGCACCTGGGTGGCTCAGTCATTAAGCGTCTGCCTTCAGCTCAGGTCATGATCCCAGGGCTCTGGGATCGAGCCCCGCATCGGGCTCCCTGCTCCGTGGGAAGCCTGTTCTCCCTCTCCCACTCCCCCTG